GTCTCCCCTGTGCCTCCTGAGTCCCTCCTGAAAAAGCACAGCTTGTTCTCTGAGCCTGGGCGCCCTCACCCAGATGGGTGGCAGCCCACCTCCTTGTTGGAGAGCTGCTCTGGTCCCTCGAAGGAGACTTCTTCGCACTGGCAGCCAAGCTGAGTAAGCTCCTGTGCGCGACTGGCTGAGGCGACAGGCTGTGCAGCCCTTCTGCCAACCGTACCCTGGTCTTTCCCGCTCCCAGCAAGAGCAGAAATAAACCTCACAAAAAAATCAAAAGGTTGGTCCTGCTACCGGAGGTGCTGTCACATTCGCTGCCTCTTTCCCTCCCTCATCCAGTCACAAGCTGAGCAGGGAAGAGGCAGGGGTGAATGGAGTTTTCATTAGGAGCGTGTCCTGCGCACACCGTACACCTCGGAGATCAGTCATTTCCACCACACATTACTCATCTGCGTGACACGAACGAACGGAAGCCTTGACAAGTGGTGTGTTTGTAAAGAGGTGTGGGACTTCCACCACCGCTGAAACCAGGGCAAACCAACTAGAAACAGCTGCCTATCTGGTAGTAGACACGGAAAGAAAACCCTGCCATTGCATGTACACGGTGTAGGAAGGGCTTAACTACGTCGCTTTCAAATAAGCCAGGGTCCTCCAGTGTGTGCATAACCACAACTGTTGGACACAAGGCCGGAGGAAGAGTAAACACAGGCAGGGTCCTGGAAAAGCTCTGTGCCCAGGACATTGGCTCCTAGCACAGTCCAGCACTTCAGGGAAACGTGCACAATGGTGAGGCAGCAGCCACTGTACCTTGGGGATTCTGGGGACAGTCTGACCTCATTTCTCCCCCTCACCAGCTCTCTTGGGACACTTTTGCCATACAGTGCATATCTGCTAGTTCTTTTCTCTTCTGCTTAATGGAGGAAGCTCCCTTATGAAAAGACGTTGTATTCATTTTATGGAGGGCATGTCAGCTGTTACTAGCGTGCATCTAAGCATCCTAAGGACATCAGTTGCCTTGCCTTTCTCACCAGTAACACTCTGTGGCCGGCAGCTTCACAGGGTTCTGTCCTGTCCCTAGTTCTATGACATATGACCTATAAAGGTCATATGTAATATGACTTGAGGGAGTGGCTTAGCCTTGGGGTTTCTATTTTGGTGTTTGGTGTGTGTGTGTGTGTGTGTGTGTGTGTGTGTGTGTGTGTGTGTGTGTGTGTGTTTCTGGAAGGTGGTTGAATCCAGGGCCTTAGGTATGATAGGCAAACACTCTACCAGTGATCAATATCCCCAGCAAGAACTTATAGGGATTTTGCTCTTGTTTTTGTTTTCATGTGGAGTAAACTTTTCATTAATTAATTACTATCCTGTGTGTGTGCATATGGGTGTTTGGGGTTGTGTGTGTGGGTGTGTGGTGTGTGTGTGTGTGTGTGTGTGTGTGTGTGTGTGTGTGTGCTGGCACTCATGGCAGTCAGAGCAAACCTTTTAAGAGTCACTTCCTTCCACCATGGGCTCTGGGGATAGAGATAGAACTCAGTCATCAGGTTTTCTGAGCTGTTTCTTTGGCCCTCTATGGATTATTTTTGACGTGACAGGCATATAATGAGGTTACATCATATACACAAGTGCACCACCCATCTTAAGATACTTAAAAACTTATCAATATGCTTGAAGACATTGTGTATGCTAATGACAACCTCACCACAGTCACCTGTGTGGTCTGTCGCTCACTTCCAAATGTACATGTGATATATGCTTATGTCCCTCAATGGTATTCTCTGGTGGGGATTGAGGGTTTCATTTTTGCTTTAGCAGCGTGAGGAGATATGGTTTGCACTATGATTTACATTTTGTCTTGGTTTGCAACATGGATTGCATCTGTCTTTTGTTTTTTTTGCACTCTTCCCCAATCCTATGATATCCTCAGAGCAATACACAAATGAGAGACTCAAATCCAATGTGCCCATCTGTTTCCCAACTGGTGAGTTTGGTCCATTTCTGTGTGTGGCTGTCAGGGATCCAAGTGAATTGGTTTGTTGACATTCCCTGGACACTTCTCTGTTCCGTTTCCTACAAGCTGCTCCCTCTGCTGTTCTTTCCCTGGAATGTTCTTTTTAATTATTTATTTATTTAGAGACTACTTTATTGGTTTTTGTAATCAAACCCACGTAGATAAGACCTTACATATTTGATACAGTATGTTACCCCTGTGCAAATGGGAAAAAAAGTAAGTTTAACATTTCTAGGCCAATATGGCTATTAATTTCTGTACAATGCCAACTCAACATGGTAAACTGGGATACTTCTCTGGAATGTTCTATAGCCCCCTCCAGAGAGCTTTCTCCTGACTTCTGAAAGATTCTGCTCCAAGGTCAGCTTCTCACAGGGGTTTCTCCTGGCCGTCCTTTTGCCATTTCACTCCCAAGCTACTGTGTTTCCTTCCTTTGCTTTCTTGCCCATTCTCAGTCTTTGTCACATGTCATATTGTAGTGTTATATCCTTTTAGATGCCTTGTCCATAAACAGATGGGATTGAGAAGTGTGAAGCTGTATGGCTTAATTTTGAACTAATGTGACATTCAGAGCTGGATACATGAGTCTAGAGCTATTATCTGTCCGTTAGTTAATAGAAATTAAAAATGAACTGTTATGACTCACTCCCAAACAGTTCAGCCTCAGATCACTGTAACTCTCATCACTTTTCTACTTAGCTCACCTGGCTCTGCAGCCAAGTTGCTTTATGGACTCCCCTCTATTGGAGATCACCACCAGACAGCCAAAGCCCATTTCCTTCTCCAAGACTTGTAGCTGCCTGCCTTTGCCTCCTGGACCCATCAACCCATTGACCCCTTGGAAGCCCCTTTCCCTCAATCAGAGAGTAAATTTAAATTATTCCTTTAGAGTATGACAATGATGGAAAGTGCTTGGTCCTTATTATCCAGCAGCACTTGACCAAATTGTTCTTTCCTCAGTCCTTATTTTTGTTCCCAAGAAGTTGGCTCCATGGCCTTCGTAATTTTTGTAGATGATTTTCTTTTCTCTGTTCCATTGTCTTCCTTTCACTGCTGGTGTTTTGGAACTGCCTCAGGGTTTGTGCTGGTATTTACTTTTCAGTCCCCCTGCCTCAAGTTTCAAGAACTCAGGAGTAATATTTTCATCAGTTCTAGAAAATTCTTGACCATTATCTCTTTAGTTGTTGATTTTCCTAATTCTTGCTTCTGCCCTGGATTTCTGAAAGACCTGCAACTCTCTCCTCTGTCTCTTAGTCATTTGATCTAATCTCTCATCTCTTCTCTGGGCCACTTTCCTGGTGGCTCTCGGGTCATGAACAATCCATTTCACTACTGCTCTTGAATTCCAATTGATGATTCTGCCAAGTATACCAGGACTAGTTTTTTAATAATATTTTTCTCATTATCTATGTTTCAAATCACCCTTTTTATTTATTCAAGTACTTTTAATGTGATAATTTTATATTCTGAGTATTACAATGTATGAACAATCTGACCTAATATATTCCTATCATTTCTCCATAGTTAATATTTATTTGTGTATCCTGTTTGCAGTTTCTGTTTGTCTTTTAATTTGTCATTGGGTTTTTATCCTGCTAGATTGTATCTGTGGGAACTTCATGAACCCTGAGCTCTGGGTATATTCTCATAAAACTGTGCACAGCTCAGGACATAGTAAAGGTGAATTAACCTGGGTGCCGCGGGACTCACAAAGGAGAATTATACTACAGAGAAGCACAAGACTCCAGGGGAGAACCTGTTCCTTCCTCCTGATCTCAGAATGCAACACAGCTTTCTAGGTTTCCTCTGATAGTTCGCTTGCCTTGCTGTCTTGCCGTATAGTCATGTAACCCTGCCCCCATTCTCTGAGGTCCTCTACCCTCATTCTCTGGGGGTCTATGAGCTCCTTTGGGGGCAGAAATGAGCCACACCCACTTCCAGCAGGCTTTGCTGCACTCAAAGAGCAACTCCCAAACTTAACGTGAAAGGTTCATTTTTCAGGCCCATGAAGAATCTGCCATCATGAACAACTCTTCTCCGCGTAATGACTACCTTAGCAACAAGCCAAGTCAATTATAGCCACAAAGGCTTATTTTTTGCTAATGCAATACATAGTCTTGGACTGACTAATAGTCTGCTCTTCATTCAATAGTTCTACATGAATGTGCTGTCATCCAACTATAGAATGCCATAGCATCTCATACAGTTCATTAGTTCAGGTGACCTCAGGGCAATGTTCTCATATGCCTATAAAGCAATTAATTAGTTAGTCATTATGAGCTCCTCTTCTTTAGAATGAAGTGCAGGGAACTTAGGAGGGAGGAGGAATGCACT